TGAATTTTTCAAGCAGTTCTGGGGCTCAACATAAGCTAAAGAATTATCAAAAACAAATGGCATTACCAGACCTTAAACTTATTCAAGAGTGCAAAACTCGTTGGAATTCAGCATTTCAAATGATGGAAAGGATACTTAAGTTAAAAGAACGTGTGTTGTCAACATTAGCCATAACAAATAATGATTTGAACTGCATTCCTGGTGATGAATGGCAAGTAGTATCTTCTGCATGTACATTTCTAAACATTTTTCATGAAGTAACCACTGAGATGAGTACTGAAAATGTTGTAACTATTTCAAAACAAAATTTTTTTTATATGCTCTTACTGGATTATTTGCATAAATATATTTTTGACATCAATATGCAACAAGAAATCATTTCAATGGCTGCAGAAATAAAGGCCATTGAACAAGTACTTCAAAAGTGTAGAAGACAACGATGTACAGTCACAAACAATTTTCCTCGATGCTAGGTTTAAAAAATTTGGATTTTCCAGTAGTGAAAATGTTGATACATGCAAATTAAAGCTGGGAAGAAAATTACAGCAAATTAGTTTAGAATTGACAAACGATCTTGTTAAAGAACGTCCAGCTACTTATATTGTACAAACTTAATCGAGTATTTGGAAATAGTTTGATGATCAAGTCAGTTCTGTTCTTCATCAAAATACTCCATGAGTTGCAAGCATTGTAGAGTTGGACAAATAATTGAGTGAAAGCCTCCTAAATCGTCAACTTTGAAGTGGTGGTCTGATAGAAAGTATGTATATCCCAGATTATATGAAATGGTTAAGAGACGACTTTGAGTACCAGCAAAATCGGTTCCCAGTGAACGAGTTTTTTCAAAAGTGGCTGTTTTTTCATTAAACACCAATGTGTTTGGCGTAAATCCAAACTATTTCTGGAATGGTAGACAAGTATAAAGCAGACTCAGAGTTTTCATTGCAAGTCCGTTATTTGTCTGCCTTGGCTTTTGTTCCGGAAAATTACGTAATTGACGCATTTGAGACATTGTGTGAAAGTACGTATTACACTAATAATGAAGACGTGTTAGAACCACTTATTTCCTATTTTGAGGATACATGGATTGGTCGTCCAAATAGATTTAGAAGGAGAAATTCCAGATTTCCTATTTCACTGTGGAACTGCTTTAGGTCTACTATATCTGTTTTACCCAGAACAAATAATTATGTTGAAGGATGGCATAGAGGCTTTAATAACTTATTGAGTTCATGTCATCCAACAATATGGAAATTTATTGAAGCAATTCAAAAGGAACAGAGTTTAAATGAAATGAAAATAAATCAATACATAGCGGGCACTGTTGAACCATCCAAAAAACGTAAAAGGGATACACTTAAAGAATTAGTTAATGACAACGACAATAGGGACAGACTAGAATACCTAAGGGGTGTTGCCTATAATTTAAAGTACCAAATTTAATAATTATTTATTGTATTTATTATTATTTATTTATTAAATTTTTCAAATATTTTTAATTTATATACTTATATATTATAATTTTAGGAAAAATGTCAAATTTTAATTGTATTTTTTTATAGTATTTTGACGTATTTTAAGGTTTTTATGAAAAATATATATAATAGAATATTTTAATTTTCGCTATTATTGTTTTCGCTGTTAAAACCATTCGCGATTTTTCCCACACAACAATTATCAATCAATACGATTGTATAAATATTCAAAATAGATTGCAGTTTAAATATTTAAAATAAAATATGTGTGCATCATTGAATAAATATATATATTTTTTAATGGTAATCGAAATATTTAATACTGATTAATAAACATTTAAATAAAAATATTTTTTTTTCAATCAACATTTTGGATTACAGGAACTTTTAATTGTAATGCATATTAAATATATTTTAATAATAATTTATTGAATGTTGGCGTATCATAATTTATTCAATATATATATTTAAAATGTAATTTTTATTTATTTTTCATTAATTCAAAAAATTTTAACTTGTAGTAAAAATATATTTAAATAATATTAATAATAAATATTAAAAAGGTTGGCAAATGGTTGCATCACATTGTAGTCGTATTAGTATAGTCTGTCAGTCTACTGCAGAGTGCAGATACTGTAGTAGATTGTGCATACTACATGATACTGCATAGGTACTACATAGTTAATAACAAAAACAGTATAAATATACTACAGCAATTAATAATATTATCGTATTATATCGTCGGCTAAGACGTAATACCTCATAAGTCAAAAATATTAATTTATAAGTTAAAAAAAAATTATGAATAAAATATTATTGAGTCTACGCTAGTCACAAGTCACAACCGGTGTATATCTAAAATCTGTAGTTGTACTTATCGTACAATGTACTATATACAATAATAATATGCTATAATATAATATAGCAATTTTACTTATTGTCTTGATTTCAACATTTTCGTTATTGACTCCCTATTATTAAATATTAATAATACATTATACGTAATTTTCCGTTACCGCACCGCTCTATTCCGCATAACCATAATAATATGCTTCGTCCTCCATCCAGATCCAATATTAAAAAGTCGGGTAAAACCACCGTCTACCGATAAATATTATAACTGTTATCTGTGTGTAAAACGAATTCTATGTTTAGACATGGAACACGTAGGCAATGAGTGAAGTACGGGCCGCGGGGCGCGCGACAACGGTCTGGCGGTGTTAACGATTATTATATTTATATTATATATAGATATGATTTGATTAGATTAATTTTATTTTATTATTTCGTGATTTTGTCTTCAGTACAGTCGTCTGTCAGACGTTCGTTTCTGAGTTTCAGACATTTCACTTGTGTATTTGTGTTTACTCTTTACTGTAAACGATCGTTATCCATCTGGCATCTTGGCATTTTGCGACATTTGCAGTTCGCTTCATTATAGTTCATAGCATTTTACGTACTGTGTAAGCTACACCAGGTAAGTATACAATTTCATTCGTAAAACATAATTTAGGTATATTGTATAATAAAATATAATAATGAATAGGTAGGTAATAGGTATTTTTTATATTTTTTGTCCAATTAAACCAGTAATGCGATTATACAGTTTTATGAACCCTCTATTTTTACCTATTTTAATTTTATAAAGCTTAACTTGAAACACATTTTTGTTTTTATATTAGATTATTTGTTTTTGTTTAATCATTTTTTAAATTTTTTCTAATTTCTTCTCCATAACTACTTGTATTATTTAAAATACAAGTTTTGGCATTATTTACGATACCCATTGCCTCAACTAGAGGTATATCTGATGCTTCAAGGCGTGTTATACAGCTTGGTATATTTCCATAGTTGGATTTTATGAATATCAAGTTAGCTTCAATTTCTTTGTCTGCCATTAAATGTTGCGCTTTTTTGATAGCTATGGCATCGTTTTCTTCAAATCCATCAATAACTGTTTTAATAAATTGAAAATATTCACAGTAGTATACCGACGCTTCTATCCAAGTACCCCAACGTGTCAGTATTGGTTGAGGTGGTAAAGGAATAGTTGGGCCCATACATTTAAACTTTAGAACTCTAGAAGGTGCTTTTAAAAAAATTTTCTTTACATTTGATATCAATGCATCCACTTTAGGAAAATGCTCTCGCACTTCTTCAGCTACCCTGTGTAGACCGTGTGCGAGGCATGTGACGTGTTCCATTTTTGAGTACAGAGCTTTTATATTTTTACCTGCTTTAACCATGTATGGAGCTGCGTCGCTGATAAACAATAAAACATTATCGTGTTTTACTCCATTTGGCCATATTATACCCATAGATCTGTCAAACAATTTGGTAATAGTGCTATTATTAGCTTTTTCCAGCACTTCACAGTTTAATAAAAACGATTTTCCGGGCTCAGATATTTCTAGTGTACCAACTATTACATTGGCAACATATCTACCTTCGACGTCAGAGGTCTCATCAATACTAACCCATATTTTTTTATGTTCAACGTATTTTCGAATAGAATTAATAGTTTCATTAAAACATTTATCGACATAGTTTTTTCGCAATGTAGACTCATCTGGAATTTTTTTGTCTGTATGTTTTTCTAAAAAATTACTAAGTAACTTGTTCTTCAGTTTATTGAATGGAATATTTGCAGATAGCATAGCCATGCAAAGTTCTTTATTAAAAATGTTTGTTTTATCATTGTTTAATACGTTATTTAAGAGTTGTTGAGGTTTCTCATTTTTTTTTTTCATCAATTTTAATCCATTAATATGTTTTTCTCTTGAAATATGTTGCTGAATTGAAAATTTTTTTTCAGCCGCAACTTTAATGTTACAAATTTTGCAGAGTAAAATAGTCCCATCTGTTGTAAATACGTCTCTACCAAATTCATTTACGTAGCCACTCAAGCGCGAAGAAGTAGATTCTTTTATTTTAGGCATTGTACAAACGAACGAATTAACACAACGAAAAACGAAATAAACGCGACCACGACGTGACACGAACTAACCGATTAATAATATTATATTTTATTATTTGCCAAGTCCGAGCGATTATAAATAAAGATAAGATAGACAATATTGTATGTATACTGTATAGTTCTGGTTTATAAATTGTAAGAAANCACGTGTTATATTAAATACAAGTGTAATATTAAACAGAGCTTGAAACCTATTTTCGTTACCGATTTTGAACACCTGTTTAAACCGTTAAAAACCGAAACCGAAATCGGAAAAAATTAATACCGGTATCCAAAACCGAAACAGAAATCGGAAAAAATCAAAACTGGTATCCAAAACCGAAACCGAAATCGGAATTTTTTTTCGGTTTCAAGCCCTTAAATACACGTGTTATATTAAATACACGTGTAATATTAAATACACATGTTATATTAAATACACGTGTAATATTAAATACACGTGTTATATTAAATACACGTGTAACATTAAATACACGGATCAATACACGGGTTTCATAATTACACGTGTACCCGTGTATATAAGTACACGTGAAATCGTAAGCCCTAATATGAACGCTTTAAAGGATTTGCCAATGTTTCAAGTGGCTAGGATGCAAATTATAATTTAGCAGCTATAACTGATTTTTTAAGACTCAAACTATTGATATAAGTACTCATTAATTATTAAATTAATACATGTTTAGAGTACTCTGAATATGTTCAATATATTAGAGGCTGTATTTGTTCAATTCTCACGCCCTTCTAACTATTCAAAATTATCTGAAATCCAGTCAAAACTAAGAATAAAAAAAGCTATTATTACTAATGTTTTAAGAATTTGTGACACAAGGTGGGTCTGCTGTTTTAAAAACAATGAAGCTATGCTAAATAATTATACAGCAATTATACAGCAATAGTAAATTTTTTATTACCTTAGGGTCCCGTTCTGCCCCACTTTCCCCTTCTGTCAAATTGTTAAACATTTCAAACGTAGCACATCCGTTAGTGATGAACTTAGGAAACAACAGTTAAATAAAGGCATATTAATTTTTAATAGAAAACTTATGTTCTAAACAAAATATATTTATAATTTTATTTATTATTTATTTTTAATTTACAGTTTTTTTTAATATTTAGGCATAAAAGAAGGTGCAGTTAAAAAATTGATACTCGATGTCAGTACACGTTGGAATAGTGTTTTTTACATGCTGCAGATTTGTCGAGCTCTCTAAAACTATATCTGATATAATGCTAACACGGCCTGATGGCCCAGAAATGATAACAGTTGGACGGCTCCAAGAGGTAAATGATATAATTGTGGTTTTGAGTCCTCTGGAAATTGAGATGTCAGCTGAGAACTTTGTTACAATTAGTAAGGTTTTACCCATTGTCAGTTGCTTGACCAATGGTGTAAGTTCTCAACTACCCAAGACTGAATTAAGGGAAAGTTTTAAAGTTTCTGTCATTGGCCAGTTGCAGAAGCGCTTTGGCAATTTGAAAAATTTTTAATCTTTGTCCTGTGGCGACATTATTAGACCCGCGCTTTAAGAACTTACATTTCAAAGACCCGGCCGCCTGTGCTAATGCCATAAAAAAACTGAAGGAAATGGTTTCTAACAACAAAATGTCACTATCGTCGTCTTCAGAAGAAGAAACCAATGAAAGTTCGCAATACGTCTGGGAATACCATCAAGGACTAGCCCAAAGACGGACTAGGGCATCCAGCAGTAGGCATAATAATTCACCATCGGATCAACTCGTAATGAACTATTTATCAACACCAGTCACTTCCCTTAGAAACTTGGGAAGATATGAAGTCGGTATACCCATTGATTCATATGGAAGCTCAGAAAGTATTTTGTGTGGTTGCGACATCTGTTCCGTCAGAAGGGCTGTTTTCAAAAGCTGGAGCTACTCTTTCCAAAGAAAGAAACCGGTGATTTATTTATTATAATTGAATATAAATTATTATATTATAAAGCTATATATTTCGTATTTTACTAATTAATTAATCTGTTTTTAGATTATTGGGGGAAAGACTTTCAAAGCTGTTGTTCCTGGGGTTGATAGATGACACTTATTGGTTTTAGTTAGTTAGTAGTTAGTTAGTTTATAGTTATTTAGCTTTCTAGCTATTCTAGTTTTAAAGCATTTGTGTATAATTTTTTTTTTACTGAGCATTTTTTTATATTATTAGTTTTTATAAATTATCATATTTAATAATATACTGTATTAAATACGTCTGTGTTAATATTGTTTACCCTGTGCGCCCTACGGCAGATTATTTAATATTATTTAAAGACTAGATAATTATAGGTTCCAAGTAAACAATTTATCTTGAAACTTTTGTACAACACTACATTTTGTTTCCTATAGTGCTGGATTATCATTATTATTTTTATTGTTATTATTATTCCATTACATGAAATAAAAAAAATTGTATACATGAATATATTTTTTAAAAATAATAATGTTACATTGAACTAAATAAATAATATTATCAATAATATTTAACTAGTTATTTTATAACTGCCAAGTTAAAAACTTTTTATAACACATATATGAGTTATGAACATTTGTATTTAATATTATTAATTATATTTCTAAACATATAACCAATAAAAAAAAATTAATGATTCATACATTTTCCTGGTAATGAAAAAATATCAAACAAGCTACGTTTAAGTGTTCAATACTGAACAATGTAGGTATAGGTATTTTAATATGTATTAAAGAAAAATTTAAAGGAAGATAATCTACTTCTGTCTACCACTATTATTCTATATTTCTACGACCTAAGTGAAAATTCATAATATCCTCTACCGTCGATGTATTTCGATTTTTCACTCAAATATTTTTTGAAAAATATCGATATTCCAGTAGTAAGGCCGTGATCGGTGATTGCCGCCTCGTGTCAACAAGTGTCTTCGCAACTCCGCCCGTGGTGTAAGTAGAAGTGCTGTGGTCGTCAGCTGCCGCCTCGTATGGCGAGTGTATTCCCCGTTATGTTGATTCGTCCGTGGTGTAGGCAAGAGCGCTGTGATCGTCAATTACCGCCTCGTATAACCAGTTTGTTTCTAATTGGATATGTTGACGATTGTAGTGTTGATGGAAGCCTGTGTGAGCTCCGTTAATGTGACCGGCTTATATATGGTGTTCCGTGCCGACTATGGTGCGGTCAGTATAGGTACGGAAAAGTAGGCCGCGATCGTCACTCGCCTACCGGCCGTTTTTAGTGAAACCAAGGAGTATTATTATTATTATTTTATTGTAGTTATGGATGGTTTTCTGGCGGTATTCCTTCTCATTTTAGTTTTTGTTTTTGTTGACTCGTTGGTATGTTATCACAAATAATAATAACAATAATTTTGTGTGGTTATATTCGTATCGTCTTAAAAGTCGTACCGTGGCTTGCGTTATAATATTTCTTGTGTTCAACTTTGGTTTTGTAATTAACGCGGGTTTTAAAGTTTGAATTTGTTTTTGCCTTTTTGTTAGTTATATTGTACAATAGAAGTTTACAGTTTATAATAGTCTAATGTCTACTTTAATATGATATTTTTTTTTTACATTATATAGTACCTACATTACATGATTTGAAATTATATTAGGCGGGAAAACGTTTGGAAACCCGTACTGTAAACCGGCCGGTAGGCGCTTGACGATCGCGGCCTACTTTTCGTGGACCGCACTGTAGTATACCACGGGTGTGCCACCGTGCAGATCCGTGCTTACCGTCGGTATTGTTTACCTCACTATTTGCACAGTTTTAGACTTATGGTTATGGGAAGGGTGTTGTTGGTTTCGTCATAGTCTCCCCTATGAATAGTCGTACTTGTTAGGGACGTACGTTGACTAAAGGGTTTCCAATTCACCTCTAAATCCTTATGATGGTGTCATGGGCGACCATAGGTAACATTTTAGGGGGGTCAAAATAAAAAATTTCGGTAATAAGGTAATATTGTGGTAATATTTATTGAGCTACAAGTTCATAATATTTTTTTCCAGAGGGGGGGAAAGTGCCCTGTCTTGTGTCTGTGTTACTTGTTTTTCCGGCGGGAATTTGTATTGTGTTTATTTAGATATTAATATATTACAATGATGTTTTTTTTTAAATATATTAATACGTTGGATCTTAAATATCCATGTACATTTATTTTAAAACATATTATTTTTTATCAATTGAATTTGAATCATTTTTCATTTAATCGTCGTCGAAGAAACAAGGCAGATAAAACATACATTGTAATAGTAATATTATCATATTGTCATTGGTGAGTACCTATATTATTTTTAATATTTATTTTTCACAAGTGCATATAATTTTTTCTTAAATTAATATTATTTATTAAAATTAAAAACTTATATATTTTTTTTTTTAACTAACAATAAGCATATTATATAATATTCTTTATCTAAATTATATAGAATCGTAATATTTTTAAGTCATTTTTTCTAGTCGCTTTATTATTTAAGTATTAATACTAGGATCACATATTCACATGATCGTTAGACTTAGAATAATCCATTATGCATTTTTAATTGTAAAACTATTATGACCTAGAAAATACAATTTTTGTATTATAATTATTTCAGATATAAAGTAAAGAGATTGAATTAAATATGAAAATTGAAATGTCACAAAAAAATCAAAATTCTATAACTTCTTTCTTTGAGATACAGTCCAAACAAGAACTATCGCCTTCTACTGTATCAAGTGAGTTTAAAAAGTCGTCTAAAGTAATGGATTCCAATGAACAATCATTAATGGTTCCAAATATTAACCCATTGAGTTGTGATTCCCAATTAACCTCGCAATCAACCATTGATACTGATTATAATTGTCATGATATTGGATTTTATATTAATCGAACATTAACTGAAAAAGAAATAGCTATTGTATTGACACAAATTTGGGTTCCACAAATAGATTACAAATTTCCATCAAAATCATACATTGTACAAAATAAAACAAAACATTAAACATTTCAATATTCCTGGCTTTTAAAATTTCCTTGGCTGGCATATTCAACTAAATAAAACGGAGCTTACTGTAAAATATATGTAAGTTTCTCTAAGTCTGACATAATTCTCAGGGATTGGGTGCTTTAGTAAAAAATAAATATAATAACTGGAGAAAGGCAATAGAAGATTTCAATGAATACTCAAATCGGGAATATCATAAAACTTGTGTATATAGCGCTGATCATTTTCTTGAAGTCCAAAAAAATCCTTCTAAATCTATAATTTCTAAATTAGAAACAGGCAGAGTACATCAAATTGAAAAGAATCGAAAGAATATAATTCCAATAATTCGAACAATTATATTATGTATATTATATAAAAAAGAGTACAGGAAAGTTCCCCTATTTATAGCTATGAGATATTTTTTTTGTAATAATTAAATTTGATTAGGTATTTAAACAAGTATGCTAGGATGACACGTCTCCGCTCAGCATCGTTTTTCAAATCCAATTATGTATCATTAAATTTTAAAAAAAAACATTCATTATACAAAGACACACAACTGTACACCAGAGTGGTACCCACTCATGAACAATTTATACAATTTTAAAACTAACTACACAATTATTGGCTCTTTACATACGTTGGCTCCGGGGATATTCCTCGCTTGCCACCTTTAATCCGTGCCCAATGCAAATAATCAAGTATTATCATAGCATATGATGTGATTGGACTTTTTTATAATGGCATTATTATTTTCGTGCTGGTACCTAATTAATATTAATATATATTAATTGTGAGTTATGACATTCACATCTTGAAATGCTTATACACTAAACACAAAATGATAGACGGTATTTACGGTAGGTAGTAGCCAGTAGGTACCTACTCAGTACTTAGTATAATAGTTATAAAAACAATAAAAACACCCAATGTTACTTTGGAAAACATTTTCATTTTCAAAATTGAATAGTTGATTAATATTCATGATCTGAATAATTTAAATAAATTACATGGTTTATTACCGATAAATCACTTGAGAGTGACACATTTGTCAGTTCGCAGGACCACTAAAAAAAATAGGTAATTTATTAATATTATGTAATGTATTGGTATAGTATGAACTACAAAAAGGTACTATTGATGCATCAATGTGTGATTGTGTAGATACGTAATATACTAATATGTAGTTGATTCAGTATTTGGTCAAAATAATAATTTAATAACTTGATGAGTTAATTTAAATAAATAAGCAAATTAAGCATATTAATACTAATCAACAAGCATGTAGACGAAAATTCATCTTTATAAAAATAAATATATAGATATAGATAAAGTTGGATATTCTTAAAGCCTATGTTTCAGAAACTGGTATAGTTGAGGACTCTGTATTTAATTCCATTTCAAACTATCATGTAACAGTCAATAGTGTATGTGACTTTATGCATGATGTTTCAGAAGGTGTAGCAAGATATGATATGGCCATTATTATTAGTTATTTAATAAGCATTAAATATTTTTCACTTGAAGATCTAAACCATCGGGTAAGATTGTTTGAGTATGGTGTAATTGACAAAAAAAATTCTCCACCTCCTATTAGTCTCAATCATTTAAAAAATGGTTCTATTATTATGTCGGCATCTGAAATGTTGTATTTTTTTTAGGTATTTTGGACTCATTGTAGGAGAACTAGTTCCATTAAAAACCGAAATTTGGAAGTTATATATACACCTTCGGAAAATTATTGATCTGTGTTGTGCTAAAGTACTTCAGCCAGAATGTGCACATCTACTAGATGCTTTAGTTTCAGAACATAACAGATTATATTTACATTTTTCTAATAGTACATTAAAACCCAAATTTCATATCCTTACACATTATGGTCGTCTCCTTCTTAAAAATAGCCCAATTTCTTTGACATTTTCTTTAAGATTTGAATCAAAACACAAGGTTTTAAAAGCATATGCAAATGCCATACCAAATCGTATAAATTTTGTCCATACTTTATCACATAAACTTCAGTTGCAAATGGTTCATCGATTTTTAACTAAAAAAAGGATTAGAACCAGACTTAAAAGTTGGGTCATATTTAAAAATTAGTAGTATAGTAGAGTTAAAATTTATATTTCCTTCAGATATAAGTCCAAAGGCATTTTCAGCATCTTGGATAAAATTTAAAGGTATTACTTATAAACCGGGTATGCTGGTGATAGTAGAAATCAATTTAAACGGCTATCGAACGATTGAGAACGTTATACCTTTTTGACCGAACGATTGAGAACACTTAAAAATAACAAAGAACTTACCACTGACCCTAAAAAAACCCAAAAAAGAATACGATTGAGAACGAATTTACGTGCAACGTTGCCATATCATTTATTATTTATCATTTAACAAATATTCTAGAAAAAAGTTATATGTAATATAAATATGTTTAAAAGATTTTAAAAAATTTAGTATTATAAAAAAATGTAATAAATATGTAAAAAAAAAAGTAAAAAATGTAATACCTATGTATAAAAAATGTAATTACAAATGAGTTACCTATATATTAGTTATAGCGGGATAGCGTGATCCGACATAATCTAAATATTTTAATAAATTACCTGAACTTTTATTTGCTACATACCACATATATTTATTATGAATATTAATTAATTTTTCCTTTTGTTTTATTTGCATTTCTTTTTTTTTACCCTGTTCTATCGTTGCTATTTTTAATACAGTTTCTGATTGTGTTTCAATTAGTGTTTGAATAACAATATATATTGCTGGATGAGAACTGTAAAATTGGCTGTTAAATGTTCTATGAAAGCTTTCAGCGGCATTTGTGGTCCTAGAAAGTTATTAATTGTAGTAATTATTAATTTGCATGTATAATTTATTTGAAACTTACCTGGGATTTTCCGAAGGTTTCATTGCCCACAATTTCGCATTGAACGGACATCCAGGTTCTATGTAATTATTTAAAACATAATCTGAAAAAATGTGACCAATTTCTTCATTTGGGCAAACAGCGATTAACTCCACGAATGCATCTTCAACTTCGTCATGGTTTATAAATTGAAGACCAAAAAACATCTTAAGCCAATTTCCTAGGGCGTCATCAGAATTTTTATATGCATTTCGTAGTTTACTTTCACTATTTATCTAAAATAAAAATAAATGTTTCAATTAAAATTATATACTTTCCAATTTTTTATTGCTATAATTTTAAAAGTTTACTGTTTTAAAAATTAAAATAACAAAATAATTATAAGTATAATTTATTTTTAATTTACCTCTCGCCACCATGCTTGTCTTAGATGGAATCTGCAACCAATAATATTAACTTGAGGGAACATTTCTATCGCTGCTTTATGGGCTCCAAGTTCATAATCCAAGTGCAAATTAGTGATGTTTAACACTCGGTTTGTCATTTTAAAACATAAATCAATAATAAACTTCCACATATTACTGTACGTTTCTTTTAATTTGTCATTTAAAAAAAAGTATACTACAGGCACATAATGGCCATTTTTAAAACAATGAATTGTGTAAAGCTGAACAAAATATCTCGGTGCATATTCAAATGTACCGTCGCCAAAAAAGTCAGTACAAGTCGTCATAAATTCCATATTTTGTATTGTAGTTAAACATATAAACAGTTGATTGTCAGATACGTGAATAAATTGCTGACTTTTACACATAAAACTGTTTTCATTTTGATTTCCCTTAAGCTGAGTAAATGCTTCATCTAGTGACTTAGGAAATGGTGGATAATATTTTCTTCGTTTGGTGTACATAGTTTTCCTAATCGTATTATAGTCTTTATGACATAGAGTCGAATAATTGTCTGTTAAAAGTTCAGTGCGTATTATTTTATTCGGCTTTGTTGAAATGCAATCTACGGCTTTTCGCTTGCAGTTTTCACGTACAACTTGACGTTCTATAATAGAGGTAGGGATATCGGAATGATAATGCTTACCGAGTCTTTGAATCAATAATTTTTTTTCTGAGTCTGTTGGAATACTTGCAGTACATTTATTATTTGAACACTTCCATTTCAACCGTGTGTCTTTACGTTTCCGAATAAAATGATATTTATTACTATCTAATAGTACTAGATCTTCACCTCCTTCACTTCGTATAATTTTAATTTCATTATTTTCCATTATTTGACGAGTGATAATTTAAAATTGTAATTTATTATAATATTTAGTAGATTTTAATATAATATTTTATAAACTGACGAATACTTCGTTAACGTTTATGCGACGACTAGTGAGACGAAGTCATTCTCTCGTATATCTGCTATCTAAGTTATAAATAATATCCGATAAACATTAAATATCAACCGGATCAATCGTTTAGCCAAAAAGGTATAACGTTCTTTATCGTTCGATAGCCGATTATCGTGCTCAAATAATCTTTCGATAACATTTGGCAACGTTGGAAAAAAAAAATATATAGAGCGTTCTCAATCGTGTTACCAAAAATAACGTTCTCAACCGTAACGTTCTCAATTGTATTTTACCGATTTAAACGGATTTATTTTTGCTCAAATAATTAATATTTTTATCAATGGTTCTACTGTTCCATATTAAGTGTGTGAACTTTTTTTTACTGTTGGATTTGATGATCATTTTCATGCTTATGAACTAAAAAAATATGATGAGACTGAAACAAATCTTATTGGGTATTATATAAATGATTTGCCTGAATCGTTACCTGCTGTTAGAGTTCTTGGTGATGGTAAATTGTATGCAACATTACGATATGCACTATAATTTATATTTTATTATAAATTAGGTACTTATAGACACTTCATATGTTTACAGTTAATTGTATAAAACATTAAGGTATTTTTATTATAATATATTTGTAGTACAAGTATTTACCTTGTAGCTATACTAGTATAATCATTATAAGCTTTTTTCTGTACCATTGAAAATGTATCATGAATTGTATATTTTACTTTCAATAAAAATATTATATTTACCAGAAAACCAAACATTTGTATTTTTTACTTTGCCTAATTTAATTTGTTGACAATTTTGTATATAAACATGAAGGAATGGGTATCTTCTGGCCTATATAATAAATAATAAAACTTAATATTTTATTGTATAATATAAGGTTGCAGATTTCAATTTTGACTGTGAAATTTCATTGTACACGTTGACATATAATATTTTAATCTATTTAACCAAAATATTTATTTATTTTTTGGTAATGCCACTATACTAAAGTTCATTATTAAATAAATAGTTAAGTATTTAATTTATAAACAATATGAATACTAATATAAAGAGTAACAGCACTTCAGATTTTGATTCATCGACAAAATTATTAGTCAAGAAAGTACCTAGGTCAAGGACTAACACCATTACTTCTACCAGAATCATTTGGTGGGTGAGTCAAATTATTTTAAGTACCTACCCTAAACACATTAAACACATTTATCTAAATGTTTTATTACACAAATATTAAAATTAAATAATAATTTAACTAATTTATTTGAAGTATATACAAGAATTATTTGAGGTTAAATGGACAACCTATTTATAAGTTAATATAACATTCATTGGTGTAGAATGCACAGCCTATTCAATAGTTAATGTAACATTTATTGGTGTTGTCATATTTTTATAATTATAATATTACGTATGGTATTATATACTATACATATATCATAAATGCGCGGGTCATCTTTTATCCATTCTGTAATATCACAGAGTAAAGCTATATATATGTATAACTATTTTGTATAGTTAACAAAATTTATAATAATCGTTCGGCCTGCTTGACATTCGTCAGTCGAACGAAGTTAGTCTCGTCTCAACACTTGCTCCGTGTATTGTTGCTGCCAGGTCATCGGTAAAGTAAAATATTTTATATTACATTTTGTTTTACATTTTAAATATACGTTAAATCATACTCGGTATAACAACTTGTCTTGTCGAACATCCAAATCCTCTCACATTCCCCCGTTTGGTACATGATCTATCACTACGGACACACAATTACACACCGTATACCAGTAGTGATAGACAATAATTTAATTGTTACCACGTAACATTCATGGTGGAGGCGCCGAACTTCTAAAATTTTTTTTAGAAAACGTAATTTGAAATAAACAAATTTCGTTGTGAGAAAGGACAAATGAAGGCCTCGGTGCCAAAACCGGATACGTCCACATTTTTCAAAAATCGTTTTTCGTTATAGAAAAATTCAGAAAAAAAATCTCTATCGATGGGTGCAAAAACCGAATACGTCCGATGAATAGTATTGAAATAAAATGATAAAAATTGATTTTTAAATTTCTGTTGGGTGCAATAACCAGATACGTCCGGACGTATTCATTGAAATAGTATATATCCATTTTTTTTTGCGCCCGACACTTCCATACAAATTTTTATCTTTCATTGATTGCAATAACCAGATATAAAGAGTTGTATTTTTTTCATAGCATAAAAATATAAAGTTGTATTTTATTTTATTTTTATATATTATTTTATTGTTTGTTGGAGTTCTGCTAATTGCAGTGCACAGAACAAGAACCATTCCCTAGTTCAATATTTATATACTGTGGCAAAAACAAAGAAACATGGAATTTCAAAAATTATTCATCGTTATCCAGAACCAGGACACAGTTTCTTACCATGTGATAGAAACTTTGGCCTGATTGAAAAACAAAAAAAGCGACAAGAAAGAGTGTTTCTACCAGTTACTTATCAAAATATTGTGTCTAAAACATGTAGAAAATTTGTTGTGATAGATGCTACTCAAAATATTATTTTAAACTATTCTGATTGCTTAAAACAAAAATTCAGAGCACAACATAAATTAACCCTTATGTTGTATAGAACTATGATTTATTCATTAGAAGGATTATTAGTCAGTATAGAGAAGCCAATACCGGTCAACCGGGCCAACTTTTTTTTTTTTACATGCAATCGAAACAAGGGGTGGGACGGACCTTGAAGGTCATTTCACCCCCTTGCTTCATCGTTTATTTGAACAATTTACATAATATTATTTGACCGCTTCCAGGGACAGTCTCCCTGTTGGCGGCCTCACAATTAATTTTTTTACATTATTTTGAGGGGCTCTATCCCCTCCATTTTCGCCTTTTGGCGTACAAGGTAATACTTATCTAGAGTGGGTTATGTTGCTGTGCCTGCCTTCTTCTTTCTTCAGCTTCTTTCTTATGCATTATATCTTTAACCATGTTGGATACCATGCTCCAATTTTCCTTTGAGGACATCATCGTCGAGATTAGGTTCTCGGGGTTTAGGTCCGTGCCCATCGTCATTTCCGCTTGTCTTCTTATCCTCAACCAAGCATCGCAATGGAACACTGTGTGCGCTGCGTCGTCCACAGGATCGCCGCAGAACCAGCATTCTGAGCTTTCTAGCTTTCCAAAACGTTTCAGGTCAGCGGCAAAACAGCCGTGGCCGCTGAGCACCTGTGTGAGGTGGAAGTTTACTTCCCCATGTGGTCTGTTTGCCCATGTGGCGATCTTTGGGATAAGGGTATGGGTCCATCTGCCCTTCAGACTCGTGTCCCATCTCCTTTGCCAGGTGGTCATGGTGTCTTCGTCAATTATGGGGTTGCCAGTTTTCCTTTTTGTGTCGTGTAGCTTTTTCCTATCTTTGGCCAAGAGGTCTAGGGGTTTGATGCCCGTGATGACCCCTATTGCATCGTAAGATGTGGTGCAATATGCTGAGGCAACCCTTAAGCATATGCGCCTTTGCACTTTGCTCAGCTCCTTCCATCCTCCGGCCCTCATGTCCTCTGCCCAGACTGGTGAGCCGTAGATGAGGATGGAGTGTGCGACGTTGCTCAGAAGTTTTCTTTTTGTTGGTTGCGCGGCACTAATGTTCGGCATTATTCGAGACAGTTTTTGCACGACCCTGCCTGCTTTGGCCGCAACAATTTTTGCGTGCTCGTTAAAACTCCATTTGCTGTCTATATGCAATCCGAGGTATTTCACGCATTTGCTTGAAGCCACCTGATGTCCATTGATCGTAATGTTCATTTCGTTGTGAGTTCTGGTTTTGGTTATGATCATGGCCTCGCTCTTGTGCTCGGCCAAT